GTTCCTATCCATGTGAATTTGTTAAAACCAAGGTTTACGACAAATTCAAACTCATATGGACCGAACTTTCTTAATCTTGATTTCTTGCCTTATGGTAGCACGGCTGCCCACCATGTCTTCCAATTAGTTAAGCAACTCACCTTTTATGCATTCAAATGAGAACTCATAGGACTCACATGCATAATTAACTCAATTGGAATAGCATAGAAACAAAATAATGTCAACAAGATAGGTTGTTAACCTCAACTCGTGTGCTAGTGATGATCGATAAGGGTTATTTGATTTGTTCTTGAAACCTTTCAAGACCATTAAGACTCCCACTGACTCCTTGACATATAAGATTTTCTTGTCAATAAACATTTCTTGACAACCAAATATTCAAGAGTTAATGTAGTTTTTATCATAACACTTCATAAATGGTCCTAGTTGGTCTTTGTCTTATCCAAGACCTCACAAGTTTCCACATTTTATGAATGTTATAAACCTTATTAATACATTTTCACTCGACGTCACAATCTTAACTTTAAGACTTGTTATTGGAACGAAGTACAATTGACCTTTTGATTTAACCATTTCTTCAATTCTTGATTCCTCTTCTTAGACATACAATTGTGCTAAGACTCACTTAGAGGATCAATTAAGATATGGTTCTTAATCACTAAGACCTATCATAAAGCATAAAAGTTACTCTCCCTTCTTCTTAGAATGGAGAAACTTTTATCTTTCTGCCTACTTGATTCTTCTCATTCGTTTTGCTATTGATTTAAACATTTTTAATCAATTCCGAATTACACTTAATCTTATAAGTATAATCATATTTACTAAACTTTTAGTAAATCATGATGAATGTCTTGTTACTATTATGGTGGAGTTTGACCATCACACAACTTTGTCTACTCGTTCTCCTAATCCTTCACTTGACACTTTGTCAACAAATTAGTCTAATTTCCAAATATGAAATTTCTCATTCATCATGCAACCAAGTTGCGTGATTCCAAATTTCTGTCCAATTGAAACTTGGGCAATGAGAAACTCTCCCTATTTGGTAAATTATCGACTTTTTCCATAAACACCACAAATAAGAATCATATCCATTTGTTGTAGAAATATTCAAACATCAATTTTTATAACGATTTCATTGCAAAGAAGTAAACAAATAAATAAATAAGTCAAACCAAAATTTATTTTATTTATAAAAGCAACGGAAAACATTTGTCCTTACAATGCAAAATCCATTGAAAACTATGTATTTCAAAAAGAAAATTTCTAACAACTCTATCATAACTATCTAAGCTCAAAATCTAATCTTCAAGTCCATGCGATCAAGATCCATTTCTTGTGATTAGATTCATCTTGCTCTTTCACCAAAATTCCTTTCTTTTCACCGATCCTGCAAAAACATTCAAATGCAATCTTATCACATCATGTATTTTGAATCAATGAATAGGAACTTAACGAAGTTAGATAGTGGGTTTTATCTGAAGCGCAGTCATACTCTTTGACTCTCCCATCTTTGGAATTTTTAGGCTCTTGGGGCAGACTTCTATCCAACGCCCTTTCTCTTGGCAGCAAACACACGTCGCTTCTCTTAGAACGTCCTCGGACGTATGGTCGGTTGACTTTCCTAACAAATACGCTCCATTGCTTCGCCAAATCATTGCTGATTCAGCAACAATGAGCATGTAAGTTAGGTCAACGAGGTTGTCGTCATAATCCATAATATAATACTTTCTTTTGAACTCATTATATGATTCAGGAAGTGACTCCAAAACCCAATTTACAACCAACTCATTCGGGAATGACACACCCAACATTATCAACATATCAATGTGTGATTTCATTCCTAGAACGTGGGCACACACGGGTTTACCATCTTCATGTTTCATTTCCAATAGGGCTTTAGTGAAATTGAACCTTTCAATTCTTCGATCTTGTGGGTTAGGGAGAACAATTGGAGGAGGTGGAGGAAGTGAAGCATGATTTCTCATCCTCGATCGAATCGTGGAATACCATCTTCATGTGGAATGCTTGTTCCACGGGATTTGGGACGACCATAGTTGTCGAACTTTGACATCTACAAAACGGGAGAAAATGAATTCAAGTTAGTTTATCGATTGAGTCCTTAGTAAATCATCCAAATGAGATATTAAGTCTAGGACCTAACACAATATTCCACAACTCGGGAGAGGGATGCCGTAACCCTAATTGTAGAATATTTGAAGGTAAGTGAATGACGATTCACTAATTTCCACCATGAAAACGAAAAAGAAATTTAAGTTTTAAACCTATGAAAACACCTAGATCCTTTGAGATTCATTGAACATTTCAATGGGATGTTTAAATCTCGATATGCCCCTCTTGTTTGTGATTAGGATGCCAAGGATCACAAAGCGGGTGTGAATAACCATGCAAACTTACATGGTGCCCTCACATGTTACAGTCACCTATTCGATGTGCCGGTAAACCACACACGCTCCACCGAACTATGACAAACATTGAGTCACCCTTTGCTACCTTTGCTTAGAACCCTTTAGTGTGCTGGTAAACCACACATGCTCCACTAATGTCTTCGCAAGGGCATAAAGTGTAATTTCATGGAATTGCATCAATTCACTTTGCCTAAGTAACTAAGATTGGGACTTTGTAAAAACATTTAGTTACTTTTGTATTTCATAATACTTATAATGGAAGGTTTCGTCCTATCCTACCCGTTCGGCTAACGACCCTCCACTAGTCAAGAGTGCGGTGGGTAAGAGTGGATACCCATTCAATCGCCATTTTATAGGCAATTTCCTTAAACACCCCTTATAGACCAGCTTCGTGAATGAGGCCTACTAACGGTAAGACTGACTTTTACTCATACATATATATAATGTTAGACTTTTAATGTTATATATAGTATAGGGTGTATTTTACACTTTGAAAATACTAGGTAGTCAAATTTAATAACTATACCTTTAATTCAATTAAATTGTTTACCTAAACTTTTATGGATTTATTAAACCTCTTTTAATTATACACCTTAATTAATTAATAAAACCATAAGGGTGTGATTTGAACTTTTCAAAACATTACTAGGGTTTTAGAATTTAACATTCCTAATTAAACCTTTTAATCAACTTTTAAATTCCAAAACTTGAGGGCAAGTTTTGAAACATTTCAAAACATTAGGGTTTAGAATTTAAATATACATCAAAATTAAATTATTAATCAAAATTTAAATTCCAAAACTTGAGGGCACGTTTTGAAACCTTTTTCAAAACATTAGGGTTTCAACTATTTAAATTTCAAAACAACAAAACTTTTGGGTTCAAATTTAAATTATAAAACCTAAAGCGGAAAATATGGAACTTTTCATAACAACTAGGATCAAATAACAAATAATCTTAATTAACATTTAATCACATAATTATCCATATTTGATTTATTTAATGATTTCTTGCAAAACAATTTACCAATTTAATCAAAGTAATTAATGAATGGATTTATATTGATCTAATATGATAACGCAAGTATCCTCAAGCAAAAACAGCAAGAAATCCCGTTTTTCCCTCTTTCTGACCGACTGACTCGTCGAGTCAGCATGGACTCGGCGAGTTCATCTATAGACTCGGCGAGTTCAGCCCCCAGAATCCCAAATTTTCAATTTTTAAGCTTGAACAAACAAACAAAGCATGAATACAATAGAAACCAATCATGGCCCTGATACCACTGATGGGTTTTGTTCATAAGAACATCCTATGTGCTCATACAAACCCTAATGCTCGGATCTAGGTTTCTCTATTGTAAATGCAAGTTATCCAAGACTATAAACCCTAGATCTAGCATATGATAATCAATATAACATATAATTAGAGTTTAGATCATACCTTGATTGTTATGTAGCAATAACAATCTAAATCCTCCTTGTATTGACTTTAGAAAGCTTAGAGTCACAAATGTCACTCCTCTAATGGTTCACAAACACCAAGAGCAAGAGGATGAAGAGAAGAGAGGATGGAGGCTGCCCAAAACGTGTTCTAACCCTAGAATAAGTCTTCTCCCTCGTTTTTGGGTCATAAGGGGTCTTTATATAGTGAGGCTATTAGGGTTATCTAACATGGAAACCCTAATTTGGATGCTTAAGCCCTAAGCAACCCATAGACTCCTTTAATTAAGGCCTTGGATGATTTCCTAATGGGCTTCCCCATAGAATTCATCCACTCCTTAATTTAAGACAATCCATAGCCCAAATTGAAATTATCTTATAATTACAATTCCAGTCCCTTAAGTTTAATTAATCTCTTTTAGTCACAAAACTAATTACTAATTAATTCTTGACTAATATTAAGTAAACAATATGATTTCTCCTTTAATATATTATTCTCATAATATATTAATAAATCATATTTAATCTTTTCTCTCCATAATTCATCCTATCAAGTTGCTTTGGTGAAGGCAACCCAAAAGAACCATGCACCATCGGGTCAAGTACATACCAAAATAGTTATGGACTTAGACACTAATCCAACAATGTTCATGATTGTAGCCAAGTAGTTCAAGTTGTTTGTTGTGTAAGGGATGATAAGAAACGATTTCGAGGATGAAATCAAATTTAAGTGGGGGAGAGTTGTAACATCCCGATTTTAATGGAGTAATTAAATAGTAAAGTAGGAGTCCCGGAAAGTAATTTTATTCGTTTTGTATTTTATTATAGCCCAAAAATCGAATGATAATTGGAGGAGTGTTGGTTCGGGAAGCTAAATGTCAATATTTGTACCTATGGGGGCTTAATATAAAAGAAATTATGGAAGCGAGGGTTAAAAAGTAAATATTGGACTTTATTAGTAAGGATTTTCTGAAGGAGGGGTCGAAATAGTAAATTAGGTATCAGTTTTGAAAGAAATATGGCAAGGAGGGACCATTTGTGATGTTATGGGAATGATTCAAAAGAATCCGGGTATAAAACCCATCGCTACTCTCTCTAAACCCTTACTTTATTTCTAGCTGTCACCTTCCCCTTATACCTCCCTCTCATCTTCAATCGGACTCCATCTTCTATCTCTCAACTCCGGCGCCACCACCATGTCGCTTGTTCTGGCCAACCGAGACCAACGAATCCAGCCGCCATGACCAGAGAAGTTGAAGACTACCAGGGGGAGGGGACAGCGGGTGATCGTTCGTCGCTGTCGGGTTGCTTTTACCCCCTGTCGCCACAGCACATTCGTTGTTAGAGTCGGAGTTGCCAACGAGGACCGAGCATCACTTCTTCGCCGTTGCTGGACTATTCCGACGAGGTCAAGACCGCTCCAATCGCTCTTCTTCTATGTTCTTCATATCTCGCTGATGCCCATTCGTCTATCACTGGCGCCGTTAACACCGTTGCCGCCTAGCCGTGTTCTTCACCGCCTCAGTGCTGCTACGGAGTCGCGGTGGGCAGCGAGTGACCGCCGGAGGCCGATGAACTGTCTTGTTCACTGCTGCGTCGCTGACGTTGCTGCTGACCCGATCATTCCCATTCTTTTCCTTCCTGTCGATGCATAACCACCACCACTAATGAGAGCTGTTGCCATATCCGCTCCGACTGCCGCTGTCAACCTCCTTCAAGATCGACAAAGGGTTGCGGTGGGTGTTTTTGCATGTGTGTGCACGTGGTTCTGTGAATGTCGATGTGTGTATGCATTTTTGGGCTGGCCGGAAAAAGAATTGGAACCACCATGGCAGCCAACCATGGTGGCTGTTGGTCGGATGTTACTTTTCTGCCACCGTGTGTGGGTTTATTTTCTTTAGTGTGTGTGTGATTTCGGATCCTGAGTTGTAAATTGTAACATGAATGGTATAATTAAAAGAAATTGAAAACCACCACCTTAGGGTGGTGGCTGCCGCCTCCTGCTGCCACCGGCCGCCGTGTCGGGTGGCGGTGTGCTTTGCCTCGTCGTGTCGACTCGATTGGGATGAATGAAACCCTAATGGGCCTAAAGAAGCCCTGATGGGCCCAATGAATCCAAACGGGCTTAAGGAAACCCTAATAGGTCTAATGGACTCTAATTAACCCAATAAAACCCTAATGGGCTTAATAATTTTCTAGTAGGCTTAATAGGCCCAATAAAGCCCTAAGTGAACTAAAAGCTCAACAAATTGATAAATGGGCTAATATTGGGTTGGAAAAAACCCTAATTAGGGTTTGGAAAACCCTAATGGCATAAAACCATAATTTGTTGGAAATCGATCAGGACACACACATGAATTATTTAATAAACTTGAAATATTAAATAATAATCATTGGGAAACTAACTTAAGACAATAATGGACTTAATGGATTAAGTCTTTAATATGTTAAGTAAGAAACACTTAACCCTAATCATCATTTCATGTGAAAACTCTAATTTTGGAATTATGGGCTTGGACTTATCGGGACCCACATTTGGGTCATTGGAATGGAATTGTGTATTAAGCCCAATCATACCATATGAATTATTTAGTAAAGTAAGGGACTTAATGGATTAAATCCTTAATGGGTTAAGTAAGAAACACTTAACCCTAATTCTCATTTTATGTGAAACCCTAATTTCACTTGAGCCTTCCTATTGGGCTTTGGTGAATGGAATATTAATGGGCTTTTCAAGAATAAGTAAATGGACTAAATACTTGTATGGTTTTAGGATAAGGTCCATGTAAGAGTCTTGGGCCCAATTTGGAAAATTGGGCCATAGATGGGCCATAATTGGGCCTTCATGATTATGTGATATTAGATCATGGGAATTGGATTGGAATAATGGGATGGGCCTTAAAGAAAGACCATGTAGAGGTCTGTGCCCAATTTAGAAAATATGGCCATATGTTGGACTTTGGCCTATTATTTTACTTTTGGGCTTTTGTGGTGTGAGTTAGACCTTGGGCTTGGAACCCAATTATTAATTGGGTATTGTTTTATGTTGACAGTGCGGGAATCTATCAACCAACAGCTGGGGTTGTATCTGCGGGACTTAAGTAGTGCCATGTGAGTTATCCTCACTATACTAAGGGGTCTAAGGCACCAAGGCCGGCCCATTGAATTTGATAACCTAGTAGTTGTTGATATGTTGAGTTGAGTTAGTAATGTATGCTAGTTGATATGCTAGTCGGGTAGATATGTAGGATTGCATGTGATACTGATTGATTACCTGTATGTGCATTTATCTGTTACATGTCGACATGTTATGTGGGATGGGTAGAGGTTGTACTGCTCCGTGTGGTAGCCAACAAACCCTAGAGTCTTCTAGATATGAGCTGAGCACCCGGTAGGCATTCTAGACTCATACTGAGGACTTGGGAGTATTCCAGATATGAGCTGAGGGCCCGGTAGGCATTCCAGACTCATACTGAGGGCTCGAAGGCATTCCAGATACAATCTAAGGGCCTGGTAGGCATTCCAGACTTGTACCGAGGGCCCAGGTAGTCCAACTTGTAAAGCTGTGGACCCAATGCATGTTGTTCTATTTTTATTGATATGATATGCTAATGTTGATATTGCTATGTGGATTGTATGTGTATCGGTATTTTGGGGGTAACTCACTAAGCTTTCGGGCTCACAGTTCAGTGTTTTGTTTCAGGTACTTCTGGAGACCGTGGCAAGGCAAAGGCGTGACCGTACCGCTCCTCATGTTTTATGATTTGTGTGATATGGTTCTGGGGAGTACTATGATGCTTAAACTATTTTGAAAACAAATGATAATAACTTAATGGTTTTAAATGTTTTAAAAAGTTTAGATTGGCTCGAATTTTAGGGTGTTACAAAAGGAGGTGCTATTGAAGAAGCTAGAGTTGGAGGGAAAGCTTTGGATCTGAGCTTTTTGAGGTCGGAGCATCAGTTGGAGGTAAAAAGCGCAGTGCTTTCTCAACCTTTTTTATTTTGCATTATGGACCATTTATAGGGTTTTTGTCCTAAAGGTGGAGACTTTATGAGTAAAGGAGCTCCATAAACCTTGATCTGCCCATATTTAGTGTATAATGTGATATAGATCCATAAAAATCCAATCTTGGACGATTAGGAGTGAGCCATGCATTAAATATGAGCTCCTTAGTGAAGGAAAGAGGTGTGATTTGGATGAGGATGACCTTTAAAGCCATGCAAAGGTGTAAAGTCACTGACTTTATGGATTAAGAGGCATTATAGTGACCAGATATGGGATATGAGCTTGTGTCTTAGTCGATTAAGAATAAAATCATGAAGATTGTGAAAACTATATGTAAGTGTAGGGGAGATGTGCTCCACTTGGGGGCACTAACGATAGATGGTGCATCATTTCTTCAATAGATTACCTGATAAAGTTCATGCCCCGACCTGTGTCATCATCATACTTTCTAGTTATAACGTGATATGGGTCCATAGGTAGCTCATCACCCACATGTGTATCTCTAGGATCCTGATCCTCTACTCTAGGGCTCATATTCCGACGACATGCTGGAACCTCAACCGTATCATCCGCCGGTATCGTATAGGTATCGTTTCCCATGTCCTTCATTATACGAGATGTCTTGAATAAATAGGGCTGCAACGGGTGGCCCTCTATCCTTGCCAGAAATCTAGCATCAAGCTCATCAAATACTCCAAAATATCTAGCTAGTTTAGTGACCAACATACCACCATAAATAGGAGCCCCAACCCAACTCTTTCCTACCAATTCTTTCAGAAAGTCTATAAAAAGGTAGGGGAGGTGACAAAATACATTCGGTGTAATGATACACCATAGAAAAACGCATCCAGTTGAGGAATATAATCCCCTTCCTTCTTTTGGTTGATGGAAAATATGATTAACTGATGAATGAAGTGGTGCACAACCTTCACTTGCAGTTCATGTTGTGTAAGACACATTAGCAATTTCAGTCCAATACCCCATCTTAGTGACTTCTAGCCGAAATATTTTGTAACAATGCTCTAAGAAGACAATGAACTCAGGAGCTGTTGCCATTAATCGGTTGTACAGATCTAACCGCCATGCGTGCTCGACAAGACAAATCTCCTTCCATTTTTGGAAATAGATAGTGGAAAAACTCTATACAAAAATCCACATACAACGACTCTTGAAGCGTAAATAAATGCCTACAACATGTGCAAGTAATTTGCACCCTGTCTTGCCGAAATAGCTTGGTTAGATATGTCTCAACTTGTTCCAAGAGTGTCGCACCTTCAATCCAATTCTAGTCTAAAATGGGTGGAATATCAATATCATTTGTACGTAGCCAGGATGACTTGTTTTTCCATTCTAAATACACAGCGGGCACCACAAGTTCTAGAAAGTTATACCTTGGGAAATCCCTTTGTGAACTAGGTTGTCTCTGGGTCCCATTCCTGCAAAATAAGATAGTAAAACATATCCACCAACAAACCACAGATCATAAAGATAAGAAAGAGAAATTACTTTTCTCCCTGCCCAGTGTTCGTGTCGCGATCTCGTAGGGCCACGTCGTGGTGTACAAACAACAAGAACAGTTCACTTAAATTTAGGCACAATTTGCTATTGAACATCATTTCCACTCGAAGGGGTTTTATCCAGGGCATATTATAAAATTATCAAGCATAGATTAAGCCATAAAAACAATCGAAACTGGGAAAATTTCAACCAGACTATCAAACCCTAGATTTTTCTAATCTATGAAATCAGCCTAAATATTCAAATCAAAACACCTATAACATATTATATGCAGTAATAAGTAGTTTAGAGTAAGAAATCACTAACCGTTTTGGATGAATTGAACTAAACTTGAAGAAAATGGGAGACAATTACGAAAAATTACTCGTGAGGGGAGGTGACAGCATGTGGGAATTCATGATGGGTAAAAAAATGAAAGAAATCACTGATTAGGGCTTAAAGGTAACCCTTTATGTACAAATTAGTCCTACACTGTGGCGAGTAGGGGCATGTCGTGGCATTTTAAAAGGTGAAGAAGAATTTCCTTTCGTACTATGGGCATATAGGACTACTTCCAAAGTAGCTACAGGCCAAACTCCATACTCTTTGGTGTTCGGAGCAGAAGCAATGATCCCCACTCAAGTGGTGATCCCAATAGCAAGATGCCTACATCAAATTCAAGAAAACAACGACAGGATCCTGGCCTAGGATCTTGATACTATTGATGAACTCAGGGATCTTGCCAAGATCCACATGGCTGCTCTTCAATAGAGAATCACCAAGGCATACAACAAGAATATAAAAGTCAAAATACTCCAGATAGGTGATTTGGTATTAAGGAAAGCATTCCAAAACACCAAGGATCCTGGTGCAGTTAAACTGGCACCTAAATGGGAAGGACAGTATCTCACAGATGCTAAAGCATGAAAGGGGGAATATTGGCTAGCTACCCTCGATTGAGATGTCTTGCCAAGATCTTGGAATGCTATGCATCTTAAAGATTATTTTATGTAAGTAAGATTAGTCATTTTCCAACACACTCAAGGTACACATACTCTTTACCTTTTACCCTTTATTGTTGTTACTATTTTCTCTCTTTAAGTACCATTACTAACTTAAGCATCATAGAGGCTTTAGCCAGACTAACACCCACCCATAGCTAATGTTTGTTGTGCATAGGGACTAAAGGATCCTAACATACAATGACCTTGACACATGAAGATCCAAGGGTCTTGATGTACACGGATCTTGATGTTTGAGGACCCTGACACTTAAGAGTCCAAAACTACAATGTTCTATGATTCTTAATGATTTTAATACTAAAGTATCCTAGTAACTAAAAATAGAGACTGATCATATCTCCTACGAATAAGGGTACTTAATCCCCTCTATGGTTTAAAGATTTAATTGCCACTTTCATATGAGTTAAGCTTTCTGCACCTCACTTGGACACACGTTATCGAACTATGGGATGTGAATAAGGGGATCATTTCACACTGTAGTGACTTGGCAACCCTCTTATTTCTGAACATAAGTTAAGATGCTAAAGTTAAAATCCAAGGTTTATAATATTGACATGTTATCTCAAGTTAGGATCTTCCCTAGATGATTCCTAAGGTTTATAGAATTGACATGTTATCTCAGGTTGGGATCTTCCCCAGATAATACCTACGGTTTATAACATTTTCATGTGTTATCATGCAATTAGGATTTTCCCTAGTAATTTACTGAAGTTTATAGCACTAACATGTAATCTCAGATTGGGATTTTCCCCTGAGATTTTCCAAGGATTATGAAACTAACATGTTGTTTGAAGTTGGGAAGTTCCCCATAAAATATAGAAGGGTTGTAACATTATCATGTTACAAAAGCAAGCTTTTTTTCAATTGTTTTCCAAGTTGGAATTATTTCTAAGGAAGGATCCTCCTCAAAGTTTATTGAGTTGCGACTGATCGAGGATCCTCAATGATGAACTTCTAAAGCAAGGATCCTATCATATGAGAGCTTCAAAGACCATAAGTTTAAACTCCTCCTAAGTCTAAAATCCACAAAGCCTAAGGATAATCAGGTTCTATCTATCCTTATTTTTAAGTTATCTCTTCTTATACGACAATTGAAGATTTATCATCCCACAAGGATCTCAACTATTTTGAGATCCTAAATGGATTACTAACTATTTTCAACTTATTCAGATCCTGAGAGATCTTGAAAATCGTAAACTCTTTAAGATCTTAATTATAAAGATCCTTAGAAATCCTACTGCTACAACCACACAATTCAATCAAGCGTGCAAAGAAGTATAAAACAACCATAGCATTAAAAGGGTTTCCCAAAAACTCCACAAAAGAAGGAAATAATAATATTCTCTTACAAACCCAAATTCATTCAAATTATTTTTAAAATAACCAAATCAATCTTAAACTACAGATTGATCGCAACCACCTAGAACCACCTTCGTCTTGTCCTTGTCTTCTCCTTCCTTCAGCTACAATGTTGGATACTGACTAGCTTTCACATGCTTGTCAGTTCATAAATTTACATTCTAGATTGATCTTAGAAGCCCAGATTTGTCTTTTGGATGAGTGTTGTACGTCTGAAATCGAAATATAAGACTTGGATAGCGCTGACTCGTCGAGTTGTTCTTGGAACTCGGGGAGTCTAGGGCTTGAGCCCCCTGTCTGTTGAGGTTCAAAGGAACCCAGTTGAGTGTTAGAAGGGTCTAATAGAGTGACTCAACATATTAGACTTAGCCATGGACCTGGGAATCATAGGACTCAGCGAGTGTATGAATAGACTTAGTGAGTCCAAGGCAATCTCCCAACCCTTTACAAATGGACACAACGAGTTGTTCATACAACTCGGCGAGTCGGATGAAGGTTCATTCAATGATATTATAGAAGGAGAGATGCCCTAAGAACTGAACCTCTCGTAACCAGAAATCACACTTGGAGAATTTGGCATAAAGCTTCTCCAAACTCAACACTCTAAGAATCCCACACAAATGCTCCAAGTGTTGCTCCCTGGATCTCGAATATACTAGGATATCATCGATGAACAAGATCACCGATCGATCCAACATAGCTCTGCACACCCGGTTCATGAGATCCATGAACACTGCCGGTGCATTGGTGAGCCCAAATGGCATCACCACAAACTCGTAATGACCATAACGAGTCCTAAATGTTGTCTTCTGAATATCCTCATCACGCATCCTCATCTGATGATATCCAGATCTCAAGTCGATATTGGAGGACCAAGATGCAACCTGCAACTAATCAAATAGATCATCAATCCTTGGAAGTGGATAACAGTTCTTGACCGCTAGCTTGTTCAACTTCCAATAGTCAATACACATTCGGTGAGATCTGTCCTTCTTCTTGACAAAAAGAATAGGTGCTCCACATGGTGAGCTACTCGACTTGATAAAAACCTTCCCCAACAACTTCTGAAGCTGTGAGAATAACTCCTGCATCTCTGGCTGCGCAAGACGATAAGGTGCCTTGGCGATAGGTGCCGCTCCCGGAATCAAATAAATACAGAACTCCGCCTGCCTCTCGGGAGGCACTCCTGGCAACTCCTCGGGGAACACATCTGGAAACTCGCTCACTATCGGAATGTCAGAGATAGAACTCGGTCGCTGAGCGGCAACACGAGTATCCACCACATACGCCACAAATCCTCTACAACCCTGCTGTAGACTCTGTCTCGCTCTGGGAGACGAGCAAAAGGTTGATCCAGATCGGGTACCCTCGCCATACACCGTAAGGACACCCCCACTAGGGTCTTGTATCGTCACCTTCTGATGCTCTCAGTCAATCATAGCTCCGAATCAACTCAGCCAATCCATGCCCACAATAACACAGGCATCACCAATCACGATCAGTACCAGATCTATCGGAAACTCCACTCCGAAAATCTCACGCACACATCCCCAGATCACATCGGTCGCAACCATTGCATGCTCATTGGCTATAGAGACTCTCAGAGGTCGACTCAACGCCTCCCGTTGTATACTGCTGTGGCGACTAAACGCTATAGATACAAAAGATCGACTCGCACCCGAGTCAAATAACACCAAAGCAGGTACAAAATTCACAAGAAAATTACTTACACATATAGTAGTATAAGCATAACATAATTCAAATAACATAAGTAAAAGAACACATACCAGCCACTACATCGGGTGATGCGCGAACCTCCTCCTCTGTCAACTGAAAGGCTCTACCGCG